ACTGTTTAACTGCTGAAATTGAGTTTTGTTTCATAATTCATGAATTTTGCAACATTAACTCCTATTGTCCTGTTAATTACTGTGAAGCTGCTTTGAATCCGTCTGTATTGTGTCCAATCAGTTATAATCAAATGCTCTACACAAACTTGCGCTCTTCATGTCCTCTTAAACACTTACATTTACACTAACGCCGTTTTAAAACGAAAACGATCCACGTCTACACTGGCGCTTTCACTGCGTTTCAGAAACGATCCCCGTCCACACTGTTCTCAGTTTTAACGTACATGTTTGCTTGAATTTATTTTCAAGATCAGGGGTAAACTATCTGTTGTTGCTTTCAGTATGGCTATAAGGTTACACAAAATAATATTCAAATTCACATTAGACACTTTTAGCATTGAATAAAGCACATAATAAGTACCTGAGATGATCTACTGTCATATGTGACCCTGGACAGTGTATTGTTGACTATTGCTACAAATATACCTGTGCTACTTATGACTGCTTTTGTGCTCCAGGGTCACATATTAGTTTGTATGTTGTTGTTCCAGCCGCGACGTCGCGGAAATAGAAACCGTTTCACCGCGTGTAGTTGGGACATGGTGTTAGATCAAGTATGTCATGTAAACAGACCCAACAAAAATTTGAACAAAGTGTTCAAATGCAAAGTTTTGGGACAGACCCCATGTGTGTGTAGTGGCTGTTTGAAATTATTTCTGAAGGTGCATTTGAAGAGTTTATTTGCAAAAACTGATAAACGCCACTTAAAAAAAAAAAAAAATGAACTGAGAGCCGTGCGTTATTCTCCACATATAGCGCGATCTGAACCCTAAACACGTTTCGTCAAAAAAGCCGGTATTGTCCACTTTAAGGCATCGCGAGTTCACGTTTTACTGCAGAAGCTGACAAGCGCCCTTGTTGTTTTTGAACAGAAGCCGATAAGTCCATTTCAGCGAATCAGCGCTCTGTATTCAGGTCAGGTGACAAGGCTGCCAGTCTCTTTGAAAAGACGTGCTAGCTGAGAGAGCTTTAGTCAAAGAAAGCAGACTAAAAGTGATCGAGGATGGATAATTTCGACGAACTTGATGAACCTGTGATATCTTCTTCAAGGTGTAAAGGAAAATAAAAGCTGAAACGTTTTCACGGAAGCTTGCAAAAGCAGCGCGTTACAATGGAGAGGGAAAAGCTCTGTGTACTGCGTGTAATCACATCCATACAGTTTATGATCACAACAACAACAACGTTTGTCAGGCATCTACATTGTCATCTGAGGAGATTACAAAGATTAAACGAGTGTTTTTTTAAACTCTAAAACATGAAATGTGGAGTTATCTGCTTTTGCCAAAAAACGACTGTTGGAGTTATTTCTCCCAAGGTTTTTTCTCCATTCTGTCACCGATGGAGTTCTGGTTCCTCTGGCTTGCTTAGTTGGGGACACTTAATATCCAGCGATATCGTGGACTTGATTGCACAGATACTATTTAAACTGAACTGAGCTGGATGATCACATCACTGAACTCAATGATGAACTGCCTTTAACTGAAAATTGAGTGTTTACTGTTGTCCTTCTGCATTATTGACACACTATTTTCCTAATTAATACTGTACAGTTGCTTTGACACAATCTGTATTGTTAAAAGCGCTATATAAATAAAGGTGACTTGACTTGACTCATCTGCTTTTGCTATAAAACAAACTTTTAATATATAAAAGAAAACATACTTTCAATGAACTTTAATTTTGTAGGTTACCTGTATTTAAGTTATTCATACTTAATCAAAACAACCCAACTGCAGTTTGATTGATATTTCTTGGAATGCACAATAAAAAAAAAACGTGATTTCTGAAAATAAATAGAAATGGAGTTATATGTTTTTGCAAATGAGCTCTTCGTCTGTTGATGCAGGTGTTGAGCTCTGATGCTGGATGCGTCTCATACCTGTTGCTGGCTGACGGAGGCTGTGGGAAACATCGGTCCCGTCGAGGGCATCACGTATCCGCTCTGATGCGGTGGAGGCGCAGGGCTCTGCAGCGGGTAAACGTCACCCGAGGCCTGCTGGACCAGCATCATGTGACCGAACTGAGCACTCAGATTCTCCTGCTGACAGAAGAGTTCACAGCAGACGTCTGAACAGCTGCACTAACTAACACACGTTAGCAGCTAGATGGGTGACTCCCAGAGCGCATGTACAGTGAGATGACCTGCTGTAACTATCGGTCTGTATGGATTATATTAGAAATGGGAAGAGACGGCACGCTTTTCTATTCAAAGAATATTAATTCCAGCATCTGCTCCCGCATTAATTATTCAAAGCATCTCCCACTCTTTTAATTAGTCATTAAGAGATGTTTACTGCTGAGGGAGGTCAAGAAAAAGAGGTTATCAGAGCACATGATGTGCGTCCTGACGGATCTGAACACACTTAAAATACTGAACATACATTTGATTTGATTTGATTTTTATATTGCCATACCAGCATCTATGGCTATTTTCATGGCAAGATTAATGTATTTTAAAAGAAAGTTATAGTAATAACACAGTAGTAATGAAAAACAACAACAACAACAACAACAACAATTGACAACCAACTCACATCAATATAACAAATATAAGCAGTTAAAAAAAGCTGTCAGACGATTAATCGAATCCAAAATAAACGTTTTTGTTTACATAATATGTGTGTTTACTGTGTATATTTATTATGTATGTGTGTGTATTTATATATACAATAAATATACACAGTACACACACATATATTATGTAAACAGAAACACTTGACGATGCAAATGAGATGCAAACAGATCCTCGGCAGAAACACAACGAACGGCAGAGCAATGAGACAGGAAGTGAACTGAGAGAGACAGGAAGTAGACCGAGAGCTGTAGGTACCACAGTGAAGGGCTGGTTAGGAGACGCTGTGAGGATCGCAGGGTGCTGGACAGACCAGAGAGACTGAAGACACGCAGCAGGAAGAGGAAACACACACAGGAAGGAAATGCATTCAGTTACAGATGTACAGGAAGGAAAAAGAAGATGTGTTTACAGCACAACATGAGCTCAAATTAATATCCCATCATCCTCTACTGTCACCACAAGAACATTCAGAAAGTTAACATGGCTCTTTAAGATTCATAGGTCCTTAAATAATGATCCACTGATTAATGATTTATCAGGACGGGCATCAAATACTCCCATAATGCATCACACCAGACCTACTGAACTCACCTGTGCCGTGACGTGATTGGTGGGCTGAGCGGCTGGAGGCGGAGCTACAGATGATTGACACCTGGAGGCCTGTGAGGTCACGCTGGGACTGTAGACGACAGCACTGCCGTCGGGGTTCAGAAACGGCTGACCTGAGATCAGTCCAGAGGACGGTGGATCAGTATATAACAGATACACACACACATATGTGACCCTGGAGCACAAAACCAGTCATAAGGGTCCATTTTTCAAAATGGAGATTTATGCATCATCTGAAAGCTGAATAAATAAGCTTTCCATTGATGTATGGTTTATTAGGATAGTAATAATTTACTGATTATCATCATCACCCAGCTCTTTATATAAAGTTGAATATATAACTTTATCCACATACATACAGTGCACTAATGTAAAGACATATATACTGTATATTATGAATGTAACAGCACATGTATTCTTAGGAAACATTTCAACAATCTGGAGTAGAAACATAATTTTATAATTAAAATTAATAAATTTTTTGATTAAAATTAAAGTTAATGTAAAAATCCTTTAGGTGCAATTTACATGTTTGCATGCATTATTTTTTAAATTTGAGTGTTGATTATTATGCATGTATAAAAAAGAAATAGCCATTAAATTTAATAGCTTGGTTAACTGGTTCTGTTGTTAATTGTAACCTTTAATATTATAGTAATGAGCAAGTAATCTATATCTATAGAGTTTACAGCATTAGATGAGAGATTACTTATAACTGAATTTATTTAAAGACAAAGCCACAATCTGTTCTGTAAACCACTGTTTAATAATAAAAAAAGAAAATAGAAGCAATATTATGTTTTGTCTTGCTCCCTGCTGACTTCAAAGCCGAGGTACATAGCATACATTTTTGTCCAAAAACCATTTATGTGAAGCGTCACTCCCCAATATATAACTGATTGCTTATACTGTTGCAAAATCTCTCTAGCTCGAATCCGCTAAATGTGGCTATAAAGCCTGAAGATATAAAGATCATGATTTTCTGTAAAGCTGCTTTGAAATGAATTTGATGTACAGTACTGGTTCATCTGTTCACACGGAGAAAGATGAACAGCACTAGATTATGAACAGTGGTGTAAACGAGGTCAAATCTGAGAGGAAGTCTAAATATAAACCTGTAAATGATGACAAATGGAGCACATGAGACGGTTCGGTCTTACAAACACCCTCATTGAGTTCCAGAACACAAAGGCCTCGACAGAAGACAGAAATTTCCCATTTGCAAACTCCTTAAAAGAGGTCAATAAGCAATTACACAGCCGTGCTCGCAGCCGCATGCATATTTAAACAGATGAGTTATTTTTTAGCTCATCGTCATTTTCTGTAATGCAGAGAAAGCGTGGGAATGGTTGCCAGGTTGGGAAGATTAACAGTTACTAGGGGTGTGACGAGACACTTATCCCACGAGACGAGACACGAGACGAGATTTTTAGACTTTAAAGAAATCCTCAATGATGAAATATATAGGGAAAAATAGTCTTTTATTCTTATTAATTAAAATCATGAAACTTATACATTTTTACATCAATTTATTAAAAGTTTGACAAAAATTACATGTTTAGGGCCCTATTAAATTTCTCACCATATTATTTATATTTTTTATTGTTACCAAATGTTGTGTTTTAGCATGTCTAATTATTTAAATGCATGAAACAACTTAATTTATAATTTTTTTTCTTAAAGTAGCTTTCTGATTTCTGAAATTTCTGATTTCTGTTGTGTATTTCAATTTTTTCTGGTTATCAAATGAAGGCATAAAACATTAATTTAATTTATCATTTATCTTTTAATTACTGAAAATTAAGCAAACAAGATTTTTTGGCAAACAAAGGGGATTTACTATTAAAATTAAAACATGGAAGAAATGTTTTGTGTGATTATTCCTTAAAAAATAATCTTTGTTTCATTTTCGTAGTAGTAGTAGGCTATGTACATTCTACTGAAAAATAGGCACAATGTCTTCAAATCAAACCGGACTTTTATTTTGACGGGTTGCCGTGAATACTTTACCAGTTCTGTGTATGAGATATGACGCTAGTTTTACTCAAATCAAACGCTAAGATGCTGATGAAGTGACTCTCAGAGCAGTTCTGGAGATGTTGTTCATGTGTTTACGTCCTCAGTTAGTGAGACGGCAGATGCTAAAATCCCCGCGAGCGTCACGCGCGCTTCAGTGTGTGTGTAGTAAAGGAAACCGCGCGTCTGCGCCATTCATTAACAGAGACACGCAGAACATGCAGGATTCATATTTAAATTGACTTTTGCGGCTTAATATTTACAGATACTAGTCCATATCATGATTTGATTTAAGTGTAATGACCTACTTTGATTAATTCATTCAAAATTTGACAAATTCCGTGACATTCCGCGTTAAACTGTGAATTCTGTTTTTATGACTGGATAAGTGAACACAAAATGTGAACACAAAATATCTTACATACCACCACTGGTGAACAAGCCAGTGTAATGCATATCTGAAAGGTCTGCGCGAGGATATCGTCACACCCCTAACAGTTACTGAATCGATTTAAGAGAAAAGCTCTGATTGGGGGATTTAAGCTTTTGGTATCTGGCAACCGCAAACATGAAAGCTTGCGGAGGCTTGCTTTCAATGCAAGATAACTGAATTGAACACGCAAATATCACAGATGATTGTGCTTAATTAATCAGGAAACAGAAACACAAATCGGCCCCAACACTGAATTTATATCGCAATTTCATAATGAAGAAGACATTTAACACTGTAAGGCCCACTGTTGTAATATTACAACATCAGTTTTAGCTTGACAAAAACAAAGCTGCTCATGTTTGTTTTTTTCTCTAAGACCACATTTACACAACTAATAGGTTCTATTGTTTAGCTATTGGATGGTAGATTTTAAAAATAGGCCTGTTTACCTGGCCATAAACTCACACAACTTGCAAACTTCCCGTGAAGCACATCATCTTGTTTTACTGGACTGGATAAATCTACATTCAAGTAAGTAAAATGCCTAAAATATTTTGGCTGTGATTAGTAATATGTCTAGATCATGTAGATATTAAAGTACTGTTGAATGCATTGATCATTTTAGATTTTGAGCTTGTTATGTCAGTGTTGTAATTTTACAACACTGGGTTAAAGGGGTAGCAAAATTTGCACATACAGTGAGTAAAACCACTGAAATTCTGTTAACCAAGAGACCAATGCTGCAATATTACAACATTTCCCTAAAAATGTCAAAAATGTAAAAGCCCATTTATTTCTGCTTTAGAGGCCTCCTACAACAACATTTAAAAGGTGAAATAATTTTTTTGAACCCTTTCAGGGTTAAGACTTCCAGTAAAACCTGTGGTGAAATACTGTACCATAACATCCCATCGTACAGCATGAGTGTTCATGAAGCGTCAGTCTGAGCGACGCAGGGTTAAGATCAGGTTAGTGGAGGACTGAAGTCATGCGTGCGAGGGAAATCAGCTGCAGCGTTCACCAACCTGTGTGCGGGTTGACCAGGACACTTCCAGCCGGCTTCCCTGCGGCGTCCAGCGGAAGCAGATAGTAGCTAGCGCTAGCCGAGGACGCCAGCGGCTCGTAGCTGACAGCGGGGAAGGCCGTGGGCTGCGTGGCGGCTGTAGGAGGCTGGGATCGAGAGAGCGAACCCGTGGACGAAGCTACGCTACTACAAGAGTCAGAACCTAGAGAGGAGTAACAGGAGTCTTGAGGAAGAGCAGCGATTCATTGGGGATCGTCAGCATACTGCAGCACCGCGGTTATTAAAACACTCCAGAATATGGAAGGTCAGACAAATTTCAACAAGATGCTCAATTCAATTTCATTTCTAATTACCTCAGGGACCGAAGCAATTGAAGAAGAGAATAATTGTATTAGCTGAGAATGACATGTTAATTAATTTCTGATTAGAGTCTCGCTTCATTTTGCAATTTACGTGTTTCTTTCTCTACTCTCTTTGAAATTAAAAACACTAAATGCGTGTACATGTCAAAGGCCATACTGGCGGAGGACGGTCATATATAACACAAGTCTCTTCTGCTCACCAGGGCTGCATTTATTTGATCAAAAATACAGTGAAAATTGTGAAATATTATTCTAATGTAAAACAGCTGTTTTCTATGTGAATCTCTGTTAAACTGTAATTTATTTCTGTGATGCGCAGCTGTATTTTCAGCATCATTACTGCAGTCTTCAGTGTCACATGATCTTCAGAAATCATTCTAATATTCTGATTTGCTGCTCAAGAAACATTTCTGATTATTATCAATGTTGAAAACAGTCGTGCTGCACAATATTTCTGTGGAAACCGTGATGCATTTTATTTTTCAGGATTCACAGATGAATAGAAAGTTCAAAAGAAAAGCATTTATTTGAAATGGAAAACTTTTGTAACATTATAAATGTCTTTACTGTCACTTTTGATCAGTTTAATGCAAACTTGTTGAATTGAGTGTTTTTTATGTTACTGATCCTACATTTTTGAATTGTAGTCTATGACACCCCCCCAAAAAAGTAATAATTTTTCATAATATATCAGTTTTTACTGTATTTTGATGATTTTAATGCACCCTAGCTGAATAAAATCTTACTAACTCCAACCTTTTGAACAGTAGTGCATAAACGATCACCAATGAATTCAGAGGACTGAACAAATAGAGTTAATAAAAGAGAATGAGAATCTGAGGGCATGCAGTGAGACACATACGAGTCGCTACATAAAACATGCTGTTATTGCAAGAACGGAGACAGTATGAGAGGAAAAGCAGAAGAAGAGTGTGTCAACAATCAACAAATAAACCCGTCCAGGCGTCCTCACCTGTGTTTGAGAGCCGCCCCGCGCTCTTGCTGCTGCTGGAGCTGTCTCCGCGGATCAGGACCGGGATGCCGCTGAAGCTGCTGGCTTTGGTCATGGCGGGCTTCAGGTTGAGGTTGGAGCTGTCCGAATCGGTGCTGCTCCACGGCCGCGGCTCTGAATACATGGCCTCGTTCTCAGAGCTGCTTTGGAGGCTGTCCTTCAGCCTGCACGAGGAACATCAGACAGCTTTAGAGGAACAGATTCATTCCACATGCAAGTCATTAGACACGAGGGACGCTAACAATCACCTGAAGATCTGCCGCCTCTGCTGGATGTTGTTACACACCTCGTCCTCCTGAATCCTGGAAAACATGTCGCTTATTACATTTATGTATTTGGCAGATGCTTTTTATCCAAAGCAACTTTTATTGCACTCGAGGTGCACATTTAATCAGTTCATGCATTCCCAGGGAATCGAACCCACAACCTGCACCAGTTTAGTGCATGAAAACGACCCTCACTAAACATTTATGCATTTGACAGAAGCGTTTATCCAAAGCAAATTTCCTTTTTTCAGTTCATGCATTCGAACCCATGACCCTGGTGTTGCTAGAGACATGATCTGTTGTTTGAGCTACAGGAATTGTTAATACTCACATCAAACACTGTTTGCCACCCATTTACTCCCATAATGTGACCAGCGACTTACATTGTATTCAAGGTGCACGTTTAATCAGTTCATGCACTGCCAGGGATTCGAACCCATGTTACTAACTTCATGATCTGCACCAGTTTAGTGCATGAAAACAACCCTCACTAAACATTTATGCATTTGACAGAAGCATTTATCCAAAGCAAATTTCCTTTTTTCAGTTCATGCATTCGAACCCATGACCCTGGTGTTGCTAGAGACATGATCTGTTGTTTGAGCTACAGGAATTGTTAATACTCACATCAAACACTGTTTGCCACCCATTTACTCCCATAATGTGACCAGCGACTTACATTGTATTCAAGGTGCACGTTTAATCAGTTCATGCACTGCCAGGGATTCGAACCCATGTTACTAACTTCATGATCTGCACCAGTTTAGTGCATGAAAACAACCCTCACTAAACATTTATGCATTTAGCAGAAGCTTTTATCCAAAGCAACTTACATTTTTTCAGTTCATGCATTCCCTGGGATTCGAACCCATGACCTCAGCATTGCTAACATCATGCTTTGCAGTATGAACTGAACTGATTGGAGCTGAATAGTAACATTATTGTCTTTTTAGAGCTAGAATTTGAATTAGTCTCATAATTGATAAAGTTGGCATCACTGATTCTGTTATTTTCCTGTTTATCTCTGTGAAGCTGCTTTGAAACGATCAGCATTGTATAAAAGGCTATAGAATTAAATGTGACTTGACTTCTTACACTCACCTTTTATCCAGCGGGAAGGTGTCTAAACCCTGCAAAAGAGATTCAGTGTTGTTTATTTTCACGTCAGAGAGCCATAAGCACATGATCATGTAGCTGTAGCGTATCTCACATCAGTGAAGATCCTCTCTCTTGCTCTCTGATATTCTTTCATGAGGATGACACAGAGCTGCGATGAAGGACTTACTCGTTATTACTGATGAAGTCGAGGATGTCCTGCTCCAGCTTCAGCAGCATCATTCGGTCCCTGAAGATGAACAACTAGTTAGCCATCGATTCACAGCGTCTACTGCTCCGATCAATACAGAATCATTCAGAACAGGAACCCTACCCGCAATAATAATCACTGACTAGCAGTACTAATAACCAGCACTATCTACAACTGGACACAAATGAAGCTCTGGAAAGTGTGGCTGGAGGTGAAATGAAACACGAGTGTCTGGTTGAGGTCAAGCGTGTGTAACCTGGGGATGTTCTTCAGCGTGTTCACCAGGAACCTGTGCAGGTCGATGCCAGTCGAGTCCGTGTATTCCTGACTGGAATCTGCAGAGACAGAACAACATGTTAACGACACGTGTGTGTGTTTTCTTCTGCGCACAGCTCAACACACACACCTCTGGACAGCATCTTGCGTGGCACTTTCTCCGCACTTCTGTCTGCTTCATCCGCGTCTGCAGTAAGAGGCCATTCTTCTTTATCAAACGTCTGCGAGAGTTTAATATGATCTCCATCCTGCGGTTCAAAACAAACACAACACTAATGGAGCTCGACAGTAAGCCAACATTTCAATGAAAATATTCATGTCTTTATGCCAACTACTGCAATCATATTATTAATTAAACCACCCAATCATGCAACTAAGATTTGATAACTTGCATCAATTAATAATGTTGTCTGTTATGCCATAATAATAATAATCAAACAGCAATATTGACAAAAAAAGAGAAAAGGCAAAACTCAATTAGTTTGTATTTAAATGTACAATACTGCATTATTATTTAACACTGCAAAGAGATAAATAAAAGTCTATAGTTACCATGAGTGTGCTCAATAACAAATGAGCTGTTCCTGTGGTTTCAAAATAGTATTTTTAGACAGTACTTTCGGATGGATGGATGATAGATATAGTCAGAGGATGGATGGATGGATAGATGGATAGATGGACAGAGATGGATGGATGGATGGATGGA